AGGAGGAGGAGGAGGAGGAGGAGGAGGAGGAGGAGGAGGAGGGAGTTAGCTAGATACTGTAGATAGCTAGATAGGTGGGCAGGCAGGCAGGCAGAAAGATGAAACAGGAGGCCAGTAGATATCACAGGGAGTTTCTAGAAGTACTTTGGTACCCCAGAACATGTGTTCCATCATTCTGATTTTAGTAATGTCTAAATTGGTTTCCTCCATATGAACCCACACTGAGAAATATTAGTTGTGTATAGAATGATAGAGAATTAAGGCCCTCTGCCAATTTCAGCTAATTTGGTTTGTATTTACACTAGTTCTTGAGAAGTATTACCATTGTTGACTATGTGTAGCTGGAAATGTAATGTATTGCATAGAACAAAACCATAATTAGGGAAACAAAATCTTCCCAAAGGACAAAGACACCAGTGTGTCTCTGAGGTCCCCTGAAAGACTGAATTATCTGGGGTTTGATTTCTTTCCTTCCTTCCTTTTTTCCTCCCTCCCTCCTTTCCTCCCTCCCTCTCCTTCTTTGCTTTTCCTTTTTTCCTCCCTCCCTTTTTCCCTCCCTCCCTCTCCTCCCTCCCTCCCTTCCTCCCTTCCTTCCTCCCTCCCTTCCTTCCTTCTTTCACTTTCCAGATTGGAAAAAGTATATTTAAATACTTTCAAGTGCAAAATATCAGAAGCTACTATCCTGGGAAATCAGCTTTTCCCAATCTTTCACTTTGCAGATTTTTGGGTTATAGCTCTCATCATAGCCAGCCAGAATGGAAGAATATTATGAAAGTACTAACAGAACAGAAGTATTTGTAGCTCAGACCTCACAGTATAATGAAATGCTTGTTGTCAAGCACATCTGAAAGGCATCAATTTGAGTAAAGTTGCTTTTAACAACTAGGTTATGCTTTTTCTGCTCCTTTCTCCATTCAGACAAACTTCCTCCTCTGAAATACTTACAATATTGATGATGGCTCCCAAGAAATTAATCATAATTGAGGCAAAGATGATGACATTTCGGGCCAGGTAGGTCTCATTAATCCAGCAGCAAGTTTTCCGGAGCACCAGGGGTAAGCATTTGTAATCCTCTGCAGTGGTCATCAGCACGAGAGATGAATGTAATATAATTAGAATTGAAAACTGGACAATCATTGGAATCATTCTGGAGAAGGAAGACACACACACATAGTTAGAAGACAGAAAAACAGCCTTCCCCTGCATTTGTAGGAAAAGTAAAACCTAATGTTTCATAAAATCTTCTATTTTCATCTCAGGACAGGTCATCCTGGAGAATGTCTACGCAGGTGATCATTAGGAGTTGATGTCAACTTAATGTTTATTCTTATGCATGCGCATGCAATATACTTGTAGATGTAGGAGAGAAGCAGGCAGAGCTGGGGGTGGAGTTAAGTGTGTGATCAGCCTAGAATTGCTATGTTGCCACAAACGGTCCAACCCTCTTGAATTCCATTGACCCGATTCTAGTGCCAATTCAGCATTGAACTAGATTCTTGTGTACAGGCAATAAATTTTAACATATGATCTGATCCTTTAGCCTGACTGCAGGGGACCTATTGCAAACATAACCTGTTCTTATATGAGAGGATGTCTAAATTGGTGTTTCTCTAAGACAAAATGAATGACAAAATGACTATATATACAAAAAAAAAAAAAGAGAGAAATATTACAAGATAAACATAATACTGCTTGGGAACTAAGATGAACTTCGGGGTGCTAGCCAATAGCCCTCACTCCTGGAAACTTTTTTGAATCTTAATAAAACAATCTTTATACTGTTGTGCACCTCTAAGCCAATCTGTTCTGATCCAGCTCCCCAAACATGACAAACCCTCTGACGTGAACTCAAAAGATGCCTTTATTAGGAATGCCAGCAGCCCTGGCAAAAAGTTTATCTCACAGGCTAACAGGTCCATCTAGCTGGAAGATGAATAGTTGTCTACCTCATCTATTCATCTCTACCCCCTGCCTTTTATCCCCAGAGCTAGGGTGGGGCTTCTTTAGCAGTGGCGGCTCTTCTGTCCCAAGGACTGGCCCATAGATTTCCACTGCTCTCCTCTCCTCTGCCTTCTGCACATCTGCACGTCAGGCACTGGACCCAGCTGTTCCTCCTCTTCCTCATCAGCCACCTCCAGACCTGGGGGCTGCTGACTCTCCATCTGAGGGCTGACGGACGGCCCAGGCTCCGCCTCTGTCTCTCTCTGTCTCTCTCTCTGCCAGCTCCATTCCCTCTTCTCCCTGGGAGCTCCCAGATTGCCCCGATGCTGACCCTGATTCCCACACCTCCTCCTCCTCTGATTTGGCTGCTGGAAGGGCCGGCGGCCGACAGGCCACAACACAGTCCTAAACTTCTGATGATCCCTTGGACAAGTTCATGGAGTCTTCTCAGCCACATATTCAGATGTGGTACGCCACTGACTTCTTTTGAGAACTTATGGACAGTGACTGGCCCAAAGTCATAGAACTGGCTTCATTTGTCAGTTTCTAGCATGATGCTTTTAAACACTACAGCCCTCACTGCAATCACTACAATGTGTCAATTAAAAAGATACTCCTTTTAGTCTTTTTAGCTGCCAGAAAAAAGGGAGTGTGGGAAAACAAGGCATTCTTGAAATGCCTAGATATCAACTCAGCAGCCCAAAGTTGTCCAAGCATAAGAAGGTTATTGGAGAGCATGATGGATGGATGACTCTTGGAGACTGATGTGTCCTATTGGAGAAATCACATCCAGGGGGTGGGGGAAAGACCAGGGTCAAGGGGGAAATGTATGATGTGATTTAGTATTGGCTGTACCCAGCCATGCACCAATATGGCAATTTCTAACAAACCAATTTACTTTTTCTGAGATGCGGCTAGAGACTTTTGCTTTGGATGAGGGTGGATTGGTTGAAGCCCTGACACAATGAGGTGCTAAATGATAACTATCTTTGTGCAGGAACCCAGTTTTCCTATGCTATGGAAACCGCCAGGAAAAAAGCAACTTTATCCCAACTCCAATTAATCTCTCCATTCCAAACCATGGAACTCACCTCGAAGACGGAAGTAGACTTTGGATGGCGGTGATAAACACCAGAACAATGAATGCACACACCAAGTTCGATTTGAACACCTCATCCCTCATTTGGGAGTACTGAAATAGAAAATTGTACACAAAAGGGAATCGAGTAAGTGAAGTTTCTAGATCAACTCTAGAAAGAGAGCAAAGCAGATTCATGAGGCTTCTGGGAAATTAGCAAACACAGTTCAATAAAGGAAGCATATTGCTGGGATAAGGATTCTGTATATTAATAAATGAGAATATTTGCAGTTCAGGGTTGGAATAGGAGGTGAAATCCTTGGTGTTCTCTGAGTTTGGTTGTTTTCTTGCAGATGTTTCATTACCCAACTGGGTAACATCATCAATGCTAGTAAGGAGTGGGTTTACTGTCAGTTTACATTCTAGCGGCAGTTTATATTCTAGCTACTAAAATATAAACTGAGAGCAAGCCCCACTCCTTATTAGCACTGATGATGTTACCTAGTTGGGTAATGAAATGTCTGCAAGAAAACAACCAAGCACAGAGAGCACCAAGGAACCCCCATTCAGTCCACTAACATCCATACAAAGAAATATCCCAAAAAAACACACATGTTTGCAAGCCTCATTAAAGAATTGTGTGCCCTCAACCCTAGGAGAGCAATAATTCCACATTTGTGCTGGAGCTTTACTAAGATGGCTTTGTCACCTAATCAGGTACACATTTTTTTAAACTCCCCATTGAAGGGAGGTGATGATCTAGAAATGGAGCTAGGTAGGTAAGAAGGAGTGCATCTAATGGGAATATCTTTAGGAGCTTGGATTCTGCAGTCTCATCTTTAGCAACAGCAAAAATAAAAACTTTGCGATTATGGATGAAACGTGTAATAGTTATACCCATTGTCATCGGGGCACTTGGTACCATGTTCAAAAATTTTATAGAATAAATCAAGAAATCACACCTTCCTGCAATAACACCAGTGGAATTGCAAAAAAACTGTGCTACTTGGAACATTTTAAGAAGCTATTTGGTTGATACCTAGGATGCTGACAGCAACCCGTATCAACCATGAGCACCAGTTAGTGGTATTTCATGTGTAATGAATAAAGTATGTAATAATAATAGTAATAATAATAATAATAATAATAATAATAATAATAATAATAGTGGTAATCATTGATATACAATCACAATTGATCCGAAAATTTATGTTGCTAAGTGAAACAATTTAGTTTTGCCTCTTTTTAATTACTTTCCTTGCCACAGTTGTTAAGCAAATTGTTGCAATTTTTAAGTTAGTAACACAGCCGTTAAGTGAATCTGCATTCTTCACTGACTTTGCTTGTCAGAAGGTAAACAAAAGGGGATCACGTGACCTCAGGACACTTCCAACTATCATAAATATGAGTCAGTTGCCGAGCATCTGAATTTTGACTGAAAAGGGGATGCTGAAAAGGCTGTAAGTGTGAGAAGCAGTCATAAGTCATTTTTTTTCAGTGCTGTTGTAATTTCAAACAAAACAAATTCACTAAACAAATTGTTGTTAGTCGAGGATTATCTATAGTAGAGTATTAGGCTGACTGCGTGATGAACCATTGTAATAATAACCACCACCCAAAGAGCCTTGGAGGTCACTTAGAAAATCTGCACATAGACAACATTTCCATTTGTCTGTTAGAAAAGGCCAGACTGCACGGATCTGTGGTGGTATGCTACCGGTTCAACCCGGTTCTACTGGACCGGTAGTAAAAATAACTACTGGTGTGGCCGAACCGGTTCCGCCGATGATCAGCTAAGAGGATAAGAGAAGCGACAAGCACATGGGTGGAAGGGAGGGTCACTCCTAGCTTTTCTTTTCTTCATCCTCTCAGCTGATTGGTGAGTTAGGGGCACGTGCATGCATGTTAGGGGCGCACACACATGCACAATAGGGGCATGTGCAATCATCCACCGAACCGGTAGCGACCAAGGTAGGAACCCACTCCTGGCACTGATCCACATATATACAGAACTATGCCAATACATTATGACAGTCTAGGTCAAGGGTGTCCAACCTTGGCAACTTTAAGACTTGTGGACTTCAACTCCCAGAATTCCTCAGCCAGACAGACAGACAGACAGACAGATAGGGATGGATGGGTAGGAGGAATTCTGGGAGTTGAAGTCCACAAGTCTTAAAGTTGCCAAGGTTGGACACCCCTGGTCTAGGTTGTTGGAAAGAAAGGAATGCATAGCAAAACACTAGCCAAACAACTGGCAGTTGCAATTTCACACTGTTGGTCTCAACTTACAACCTATCACTTAAGAGACTGTTCAAAGTTATGATGGACTTATGACTCGGTTTCGAACTTCTGACATTGAGGGCTACTCCCCATGCAGTCACATGACTCCATTCTGGGTGCTTGGCAACCAGCCCTCATTTACGGATGTTTGCAGCATCTCATGATCACGTGGCCACAATTTACAATGTTTTCGCCAAAAAAAACGGCACTTGAGTTCCCACTTTGATCAAAACTGGGCCACGGGAAACAATGGATTTGCTTTATGGCCGTAGCATTAATACTTAATGAGTGTCGCAACAAAGGACATAAAATTAGGTCAGTCTCAATCATCATGACTTAATAGCCATGACGGGCAGGCTCTGTTATGGTCATAGTTCAAGGAGTATCTGTACACAGTTACAGCAGTAACCCACTAGATCATGGGTGTCAAACTTGATTTCATTGAAGGCCCCATCAGGGCTGTGTTTGACCTTACGGGGGACAGGGTGGGTGTGGCCAGCTTGACATCACTCGTGTTGGGGACACCTGTGGTGGACTGAGCACTCTGGCAGCAAAAATGGGCTCCCGAGCTCTGTTTCGGCTGTCACAGCCTCCTGCAACCCTCAGCCAGTGAAAATGGAGCTCGGGGGGGGGGGGGGGGCCTTCCCGAGCTCCATTTTCGCTGGCAGAGGGTTGTAGGTTGCTATGGCAGCCAAAAACAGAGCCCGGGAGCCCGTTTTCACTGGCAGAAGCACAGCGGGTCGGTCCTTCGCTGTTTCCAGGGTGGCCCTGCAGGCCAGATCTAAGTAACCCATGCCTCCCCCGGGCCTTGAATTTGACACCCCTGCATTAGATTGTGACTGTTGGGCAGAGGTCTGTGGTAAATGTGTTTTGAGAAATCAGGACGATCTGGGTTTTGCAAGCTTCTTTCGCAATTGAATCATCCATTGCAATCATCAAGAGAGGAGTACCCATCTTTATGAATTACTGAACACTTTCACGCTGTTGAGAAGATATAATTGGATATATAGCACTGATTCGTTAGAATACAACCTATCACCCCCTTGTTGCAATATTCCTCTCTTTAGGTATTATTATCAGGCCCCAGACCATGAATAACAAGGGCTGATTCTCCCAAGCTTTCATTTGTTATTGTTTCACACCTGTAGAAAAAAAAATCCTGCCAGACTGAGGACTCTAGAATCTGCATCTACAACAAACTAGGTGAACTAGTAGGGAGGAGCTGTCTGCACCCTCTTTCTCTCACACGTAATATCTGGGCTGAGTTGCCTCTTACTCCTCTGGAATGCGCCCCTCCCTCCCAGAATCCACTTCCTCATTGATTCCATCTCATTTCTACTTGCATATATTTCCCTTGGCAGGTGAGGTGAGGGGGTAGATAAGCATAACAGATAAGGACATTTGAGGGGCGAGGCAGTCAAAATGGTGGCTGAATGACCACAGTCCCATCCCATCTGACTGACCCATCTTTTAAAGTTATATCAGGAAAAGCAGCTGCTTAGACAAACTTCCTATTTGCTTCAGGAGCTGACAAGCTATTTCTTTATTTTGGTAAGGTTGTAAGATTACGAAGTCCCTGATCTGATCCCAGTTAGGTAAGTATTTCCCTCTTTTACCTTAACTAGGTGCTCAATTCCTGCTAGATCAGTTTTTCTTCAACCCCAGCGTCTTTAAGATCAATTCCCAGAATTCCCTAGTCAGCACGCCAGCTCAGGAACCTGGGAGTTGAAGTACATACATCTTACAAGCTCAAGTCCATACATTTTAAGGAAGGGCAGAGAGCTGAAGGGATATAAAACCTGCCCAATGAGATAGACAGATATAGATAGATAGATAGATAGATAGATAGATAGATAGATAGATAGATAGATAGATAGATAGATAGATAGATAGATAGATAGACAGATAGACAGACAGATAGACAGATAGACACATAGATAGATAGATAGATAGATAGATAGATAGATAGATAGATAGATAGATAGATAGATAGATAGATAGATAGACAGATAGACAGATAGACAGATAGACAGATAGATAGATAGATAGATAGATAGATAGATAGATAGATAGATAGATAGATAGATAGATAGATAGAAAAATAGATAGATAGATAGATAGATAGACAGATAGACAGATAGACAGATAGATAGATATAGATACAGACAGACACATAAATAAGATTGATAGATAGATTAATAATAGATAATACATAGATTGACAAACATGTAGGTAGATAGGTATGTAGTTAGAGATAAACAGACAAACAGACAGATGGTGAAAGAGGTAGAAGGATGATGGATGGGTTGATAGAGAGAAATCATGATGGATAGATGGCTAGATGGTGGATGGATGAAGGGATGGATGACAAAAGATGGTTAGATGATGAACGGATAGAGAGATGGAGGGATGGAGGGATAGATAGATATAGATAGCTTAATAGATGATAGAGATACATAGGCAGACAGAACAGAACAAGGGAAGTTTGTGAAATGCACAAGGAGAATGAACTGATCTCCATATTCAAAACACTTCTATATATTTAACTTTTCCATGAGAGAGAGAGAGAGAGGGAGGGAGGGAGGGAGAGAGAGAGGGAGAGAGGGGGGGAGGGAGGGAGGGAGGGGGAGAGAGAGAGAGAAGGGCTAAAGAGCAGGTGAGAATGTGTGAAAATCAGGATGGACTGAGGCCACTTCCATGCACCGAACGCTGAACGAGACGAGTACATGCAGTGAAGATTACAACGCTATCAAAACTCCGTCTTTTTCCTCTGCTGTGCAAATTTTGCTTCGATCTAAAAATAAGCCTCCCTGAGAGCTGTTGTGACGGAA